GTAAAGTCATGTTAAAAACTTGAGTTTTTCAGTGTTTTTGCATTAGCATTTAGCCGCATCCAAAAAACACTGGTTTGCCGCGTTTCTCAGCGTTAGAACGATTTTACAGCTACAAAACCCCTCTAGGAACCCACTAGTTTTTTTCCCAGCCAAAAAACGCTCCTGCCAAAAAATGCTGATTACAGTCTATGTGTGCATGGACACATAGGATAACATGCTGGGGAGTTTACTGGCTGTAGAAAAAAACGTCAAAAATCCAAAAACAGCAGCTGTGTGCAAGAGGACTTAATGTTGTAGTTTAGTAATTGTAATTGTTTTAGACCAACTAACACCTCACTATCTCCATGCATGACAATAAATGTTATATGTGTACATAAAGACTGATATACCATTGCTGTATTAAGCTTTATTATATATAACAAGTCATTGATTTTAGGCAAAGTCCAAGCAATACACATTTTGTATGTATGTTAAATGTTTTTTCTCACTGCTGTTAAAAATGGGATTTAACAAATGATTTTAATTACAGACTGCTGGAAACAACCTCACCCATCTTCAGGCCACTGTCCTAGATCTGCAGCAGTGGAAGTTCAAGTACATGATATTGCATGAAAGATTGGTTTGAGTTTACTAATGAATCCAAGCCAGCACTGTTACCCTAAAATCTACATAGTCACTAGTCAATGGTAACCCAGTCATGTTTTTCTAGCTTACACACTGAAAACATTCTTAACTATTGCCTCTAGATATTCTATGCTAGACTACTGCAAAGCTCCTGGCTGATATACTGCGATCTGCTAAAGTACAAAAATTAAAAGACACAGTCCAACACTTGTACAAATGTAATAAATGCACCCACATTAATAAATAAGAAAATATACTTTTCTGAAATTTTGGCATCAAAGCCAGCAGTGCATTGAAACCATGGTCTGTGCATTGCGGGTGCAATGCACGGGCTCCTGCATTGTTTTAGCCCCAGGTCCATATCGAGGTAAGAACCTTCTGATATGGGGCTGGAAGAAGTAAACAATGGACTACAAATGTGGTGACATCACTCAACTTGTGCAGGTATGATCTGCAAGTACCTCTGCCACTGTGGAAGATGGTATTTGTAGTCTTCCCATTCACAGATATCTGCGTGGCTTTGCCAGCACAGCCAAGCTAAATTAAAAAAGGAACAATATGCTACAGGGGGTAGCACCACATGATTTAGGTTAGGGATGACAGGTTGTGGGGGGTTCTGGGAAATATGATAATGTTTAATGTCCCGCTCTAAACATGAGTGTAACATGAAAAATAGCTTGAGTATGCCTTTAGTGGTTAACAAAATCCTGTGCTTTACCTATGAGGTGCAATATAAGGTAATGTAAAGAAGAATGGATCACTGCTACTTCTGACCAGTCCAGGTGAATAAGCAATGAAGAGCAGTCTCAGCCTGCATATCGCCTCCAAACCACACACCACCACATGACTCTATGACCAAGCCCTAGCTGATGGGATGTGTGTCGGAGTGTGTGGTTTGGTGAAGACATATTGGCTGAGGCTGCTCTTTATCGTTTATTCACCTGCGCTGGTTGGGAGTAGCAGTGATCCTTTCCTCTTTAAATTTACTATCCCCCTAGATTGGTAGAAGGACAAACCTGCACCCCATGTTCTGGGACACAGGGATATGGTTTCACCTCTACTTGGAGCGGCTCCAAAAGCAATGTAACAGGTTTCAAAACAAGTTCACTTTAATTCTAGCCCATGCAGCAATTTATACCCACTGGGAGAGAAGACATATCTTCCACTTACTCCCTTTCCTCCAATGTAATGGCACTGGTGCTTGGAAATTGGCCATTCAGACAGCAGCACCATACATGAAGCAGGGAATGTCTCCTTAGCCCATTGTTAGCTCCAACCTAAGAACTAGGAACTCTACTTCTATTTGCCATCAGAATAAAATGGCATGGGAGCGATAGGAAGGTAAGTATAAGCAGCCCTGGGGGCTTTAAAGTGAACCTGTCGATTTAGCATGCACACGCAAAACACAGGCTCACTTTAAAATGTCTCTATAATGTTTACTGTAACGATTATTCAACTGAGCTAGTGGACTGCATATGTCCATATGTAGCCATATACGTTTTTAAGTACCAAAAAGAAGCTACTAGCATATTCAAACACAACTCAGCTCCCTGTAACCATCCAAATCACGGTTTGCTTTTCTAGATGACATCTTTCTGTAATGATGTCATTAACTTTTCTCACAAGCAGGGCAGGGAGATCAAGCAGTCATTACTTGTTGCCCAGAATGAGAAGATAAATAGGTAAAGGCTTGGGCATCAAAAATATCATCAGAAGCACAGTTAGACATGACATACATCTCTGTGCTTTAGTGCACATCAAGCGCCTGTGACCTGTAGGATGGTTTTGACATGGGAAGACCTGAGGTCCAGGACACTGATAGCAAGATAGGTTATTATGCTGTGACCTCTGAGCACACCTACTTCCCTCTGCAAGCTCAAAAATAGCAGGGTTGACTTACTAAATGGGTAGAGCATGTTCACTTAGCTTAGTAAAAGGAAGAACTGTATTCACTTTAAATACCCAACCATGAGTAGATGACTGAAGACAACATAACTTCACCTTAATAAATAAGGTAACTGCAAATCCAATTTGTAAATGAGGTAAAAATGTGCTCATGGGAATCATCCAACTGTGTGCAATAATGCATCCTTTTTTTTTTTCCTTACACATGATTGCCTATTCTTTGCAAAGTGTTTTTTCACTTAGTTTCACCTCATTTATTATGCTAAGTGAAAATTCACTTTGGAAAGGGAACCTGCTTTGCTCCTTTGGTAAACCAACCCTAGTGTGTCAGGCCATGGGTTTAATGCTATGACCATGAGCTGTGCATTCAGATGGACCTCACCTAGCCTTGTGAGCCCAGAATTGCTTGTAACCCTTCATATCCACAATAGTTACAACATAGCTATAAATCTCATGATTCTAACTGCCATGAGATGATTCAATATTCAGATATATTCAAAATGTGCCGTGTTTACTCCCATCAATACGTCAACAGATAAAGGATGGCATTGCATAGTGCATTACGGTGTGTGGTACATAGTGGTGATGAGTACATGTACATACATATATATATATATATATATATATATATATATGTGTGTGTGTGTGTGTGTTTAATGTGAGGCACAGACCTTTAGAATACTGTGCTTAGAATACATCGAGGGTTCTCACCTTCTAAGAAAAAGCTACCATCTGTTCAGTCAAGTACATCTGTATGCACACAAAAACTGTGAATCACAATCATAGTCCCTCATGAAACACAAACTCAAAATCTTTTTTTAAAGTGCTTGGGAAATGTAATTCAGTCAGTTTTCTATATCTGCTGGTATTATATAGCTAGAATGATCGTTCTGTACAGGCACAGTACAGAATGAATATGCTATAACATGATTGATGTGAATTAAACAAAAAAAAAAAAGCAATCGATAATAAAAACACCCTTGTGGAAGAGTTGGACATTACCACTTGTAGATAACCAGTATTAGTGATTCTAGTTGTAGTCCATGAATGCTGCATCTTGCGGTCCCCTGTGTAAATGTCCAGCTTGGCTTTGAACAAGGTCATAAACAAGGATAACATTTCTAACAGCCTCAGATCTCACAAAAAGTGAAAACTACCAACAAAATTTCTCACCCTTGCAGGCTACCAAGGTGAGTGATTTTATCTGCACTTTTTATCTTCTTGTAAGCATTTAGATCGCTGAACTTGGAGGTTCTCTCCCTTCGCACAGCAAAATATTACATCTGCTTTTTCTTAAACATAAAAAAGGGGTCATTGAATCTTACATAGAGTAAGATAGTAGCAGTAAGTCATTTTGGCATCATGCTTCAGTTTAATTAAATGATTGCTCTTAAGCAAAAAATCTTCACCTTTCGTGGATGTCTATTTTTACAATCCGTGGTTTCTTTAAAATATCCGCAGAGCAGCTTTTGATAGTAGTCTGCGCCTATGCCTTTGTATAGGATGATTTTGCCACTTTGGTAGTTCTAAGTGCAGTGCTGTTTGTATGGAAGCATGGAGGACAGAAGCAATGGCAATATTTCATGTCAGTATGTTAATATACATAAATCTTTACTGGAAATATCAACACTGTCTCAGACAGAAATAAGGATGAATTGAAGTCCCCAACATTGTCATTATCCACCAGCTTCACTGTCATTTGCTTACCCTGCAACATGCAGGATAAAATATATTATGGCATAGCAGCCTCTGTTTGAATCTGGAAAAAAAAAAACCCTCAAAACACACAAAGAAATTAAAAAAAAATAATAATTACAAAAAAAGCTACAAAGTACCCAGCGATAAATTCCAGTGTTTCAGAGCAAATAATGAAAGAAGGCAGTTTACGTTGTGTTCATTTACAACAAGTTAGCGATGCATGCATCAAAAGTGGTGACTTAAAGTGATAAGCTTTGATATGCTAGTACTGTGATATTATTGTTTTTGTGAACGTACCTCATTATGTTTCTCTTCAGTAGTAGGCTCTTGTAATGAGCATCAGTGGCATACTGATAAAGCCAAGAATGTTACATGCTGTTGGGCATATAATGACTATGCTGTACAGTTGGATAGTCTGAACAATGGTGTTTTCTAACCCTTTGAAAAGAAAAGCATGCTTTGTGTGTTTCAACTTGTGTAAATGAACTTAAACACTATAACATAGTCACCCTGTTCATTAGTCATACAACATAACATGACGAGGAACTAGAAGTCTGGAAGTTTAACAGTTGGGTATGGGAATTTTGCAGGTTAAAATTGACCCTGCAGGAATGAGGAATAAAAAAGATATTATATTCATATATCAAGAGATAAGACATTGCTTTCATCACGTGATCATTTCTCCCAACAGCTGAAAGTCTTTCTACCATCTCAGGGGTAAAGGCATGTGCATGTGTCCAACTCCAAAGGTAAGTTTATTTGGCACATCTATCTTACACGTACCATTCCTTTTTTGAGATGTAGGAACCATCGTTCTGAGCAACCAGACTATCAGGCAGATCTTCAGGTTCATATTGGAACCCTAGAGTTCTATCCTCACCATAGCCACATCGTTCTCCCTCCTCTACTGTGAAATAAGGGCGCTTAGATTCATCATCATACTTTGTGCTCAGTTTGCGTCCATCTATACCCTCATCATCTTCTTCATCTTCATAGCTGATGCTTCCAACAGGGCCTGGCTTCTTCTCATCATCAGAATCCTCTGGGTACTGCAAACTCTGAGCCATTGGTGGATGTTGTGCCACACCTGCCTTACTATAACCATTTCCATAGATGTGTTTCTTAGTGTTGTAGTCTCCTTTAAAGGTGTGATGTCTTCTTCGAAGCACCACAAATAGGATGACAGAAACAGCTAGCACTAGTACTGCTCCACCCACTGCCCCTCCAATGATTGCTGCTGGGAACATGGAGGATTCTCTCCGGTCCGTATGGTCTGTAGGAGTCGGGGTGAAAGGGAATTCTGGGTAGGAAAAGACAAGGAAAGGGAAAAATATCAGGTTTGGCTGTATGGAAATACCCTTAAGCAGAGACGCAAATTATGGGTTAGAGCATGATGATACCTAATAACTTACTGATGTTGGCTATAAAAAGGCTAATCATTATGGCATATAAACTAATGCCTGACTCCAGCCAAAAAGGTTTTTTAAGTTTTAGGTAGAGTGGGGAAGAGCTACAATTCCTGTTAGGTTTTTATTTCTGTCTGTTACTCAACTGGGGATTTTGTTCTTCACTTCCTATCCCTGTTATATCCGTAGAAAAATGACATGCAGTTGTCATCTGGATAAGAAGGGACAGACAGCAATAATAGCATTGTCAGAAGTTCTAACCCAACCTCACTCATCTCATTCCAAAACTGGACTTTGAAAATTAAATATAAATTTACAATATGTATAGTTTAGACCAGGGGTCTCCAAATGATGCCCCCCTGGTTTAGACAAATTCAGTAGTCTAAGGAATGGCATCATCATAGAATTTAGTTTGTGCCACTATTATTTTTGGTCCCTTATGTCTGTTCAGGGCTTTCTTGTGACCATTGCACTCAGTGGAAATGGCTCTAGTTTGTTGCTTTTGTTGGAATGTGTTGTCTAAATGAAGCTTACAGTAAATAGGAACAGACATTAGGCTCAATATACAAATCTTTAACACCATAATAAGTATGTATATTTTTTTAAATAAGTATCCTTATTCAGGTGTGCTAGCTTTGTGAATTGAGCCTATGGTTCCTTAGCAACAAAGAAGAGCATTGCTCTTTGAGCTCAATGAATAGTAAAAATTGAACCAGTCAAGTAACAAATACTTTCTCCAGTATATACAGCATATCTTACAGAACTGTGTTAGCATATATCAAATTTGCCAAAAAGCTAGATCTTACATTAACAGCATAAAAATTTAAAGCCTGCTTAAAAGAGGTTATAACATTGAGTGAAAAAAGTACTCACCTTACACCCAAGCTTCCAGCACGTTCACTTCAGGTGAATGCAAAGGCAATCAGCCCTCCTCTGGGATCATGGGAAAGCTGCGGATTCCAATACTGCAAGAATATAGTCCAACAATGCAGCTTTTCCAGGATCCTGTGAGAAGGCTCAGTGACATAACACTTGCCTAGGTGGGGTGTAAGATAAATATTTTTTTTTCCTTTTTGCTCTAAATGTTATACATAATTTTTTTTTCAAACCAGCAGCCTTTATTCAGGGGCTAGGAAATAAGTCAACCTTGCAATTTTGTGCAAGGGCCACTTTGAGTGCATGGTTTTTACATAGACAATTGAAAATTGCACAAAGGTAAACTTCTTTCTTTTCTAAAAAATTATATTCATCCACTTAGGAGGGTAACGTGTACAATAGAATCAAGTTCAATCCAAAAAGCACAAATAATTGCCTTTAGCTTGGCTCTTAAATTCACCAAGCTATTTTTACAATTTGGTTCATGAATTATTCTTTAGTAATTCGGTGAGGGACCACACATTTCTAAAGAGCTGCTAATTTCTTTAGTTTTCTTTAATTTATTAGATCTATAACAAAATCTGTTTTCCTTCAATATTGACCCAACTATTTAAAAAAAAAAAAGAATTGCAAATTTTTATCAATGCGTCCCTGCTTGGGTGGAGAAGTCGGGGAAGGGAAAAATAAGGAAAACATTAGGTTATAAGAAACATGGGAAGGAAGCAGAAAGAACTATATAGATATATATTTGAAATTGTTGAACAACAGCAATTTATTATGGGTTTGAAAGTGGTACAAGCCACTGGTTGGGGGAAAAAAATGACAAACCTTTCCACCAAGATACTATCCATCTGAGTAAAATAATTGTTTATGTTCTGTTGGCACAGCCCCCTATGTAACAATGTTACATGGGAAAATATAAATGAACCACATAATACAACTGTAGAAAATATTGCAGTAAAAATACAGTAAATTCACTTTACATATAAAAACAATTTTTATAGCAGGGTCCAGTTATATTGCAGAGTACCATAAAAGCTCATATGAACTTTCAGGCTAAATCCACTAAATACATTCCATATGCTTCAGAACAAAAAGGTATATAAGGTTTTACAGTTTGTCTTCTTCATAAAGCAGCCACAACCTGAATATAAAAGCCAGTTTGCTGGCATCATACTTGACCCTTGCACTTTATGTGGAAATAATTATGTACTTTGCATTTAAAATGTCCTTTAACTGCTGTAGAAAAACTACAACTTTCTTGGAAAAAACCCTTTATAAAGAGAAGATTCCGCTTTGTTTTACTTCTACAGAAGCAGTGCTGTGCTGTAGAGGTGAAGTTATCTCTGAAGTTCTGCAGAGCTTCATACGTATATGCTCATCGAGTGCATGGAAAGTAGCAAAAAATGTTAAGTGGTCAAATACAGCAAATCTGTTGGGAATTCTCCATGTAAATTGGTATGGATCATTTCCTTTTTTCATGGAGGAAGGGGCATATCTCTGTGAACCTTCTACTAACACCACTGGCTGGGATACAGAGGAGACTGCATTGAGTCAAAAGTAACCACTAGTTTGAGCCCAAGCAGATATCTTAGCAATATTCGCAGGGAAGCAGGATCTGCTCTCTGCACACTCTATTTACACCACATTATGAGTGGATTTCATTTTTTATCTATATAAAGCATTTCTGGGATTTTTTCCCCTCTATATAAGGCCATGTGAGCAAGCAGTACATTCACTGTACAATTTCTGAATAACACTGCAGTGAACGCTCACAAAAAGGAAAAGAACCCTTTCACACAACCTGTCAAAGTCAGAGGTAGACTAATGAGCATTTGCAGTTGTTGGAGGTGAAATTTTCTAAAGTTGAGACATCTTTTTGAGACTAATAGGTGATAGTTCTCACATATACGGCTGCAAGCAGGGCAGACGTTTACTACTGTGACATATTTTTCCTAGGATTATCATGGCTAAAAACTGATTGGGACTGATATTGTATGATTAGGAACTACACATATTGCTTCCAAATACTTTATATATCACCCGAGACTACATGATGAACTCCCTGACAGTGATTAGCCAGAGTACAAAGGTTGAATGAAAAATGGGAATGTCTGTTGCAAAACTAAAGGTCTTTTGCAGGTAGACCAAAATGTGGGCAGCACAGTTGATAAGTGGATAGCACTTACACCTGGCAGCACTAGGGTCTTGGTTTAAATCCAAACTGTGGCACTACCTACATGGAGTTTGCATTTTCTCATTGTGCCTTCGTGGGTTTCTTCCAGTCACTCTTGTTTCCTCCCACAATCCAAAGACATGCTTATAGGTTAATTGGCTTCTATCTAAATTGGCTCTAATATCTGTATGTATGAACGTGAGTTAGGGATCTTAGACTGTAAGTTTCTCGGAGGCAGGGACTGATGTGAATGTACTGTCAGTAGCATCTAGCGCTTCTGATCTATCACAGCTACTGGTCTCATTTCAGTATCCTGATTTTGGCTGGGACACATTGGGGTTTATTTACTAAAGCTGGAGAGTCCAAAATCAGACTCCCTTCTGCATAGAAACCAATCAGCTTCTAACCTCAGCTTTTTCAATGAAGCTTTGGCAATGAAACCTGGAAGCTGATTGGTTTCTATGCAGAAGGGAGTCTGATTTTGCACTCTCCAGCTTTAGTAAATAAACCCCATTCTGTCTGTCTGTCCACATGCAGGTGATTGATGTGGCCAGTCCCTGGGTGGAGACCTTCCTTGGCAGGGTGGCCAGGCACTATAGCATTGTGTATAAGTCCTGGGGGCAACTAAGTACCAGTAGGCCTGCTTGTCTTATGGCAGAGTGGACTGCTATAGTTGAAGAACACAGAAGCTAGCTATAGAGCCTGACCACCTTCATTAGGGTAAGCGTGACATGTACAACATATATGTAAAGTGATCCATAAATTGATGGTGCAATAGAAATACCTGTAATAAATATAGTAAATTTTCTTCATAAAAAAGGTTCTAGTTATTCCAAAACTGCCCCGAGCTTGTTATTTGGCCTGATTAAATGCAAAACTACTTCAACTATTGTTTTTGGAAGCAAGTACCTGTTTAGTTACAGTTTGGCAGCCTAGTCCACCACCGAACAGGATTGAAACAATTTTTTGCTTTTTTTTTTTTTTAAGAGTGGCTCTAAGTTGCTAGAAACATTTAAACCCCATACTTCAGGAAAATGTAAAATTATCCCAGGCTGTGAACCCTGCTTCAGTCTTGATGACGTAAGAACCCAAGACTGCTGAACCATGGGCTAGATGAAGCTGTCTAGTTTCTCATAGGAGTGAAGGATTGGGTAATTGAATCATATTTTTTTTTTTGTTTGCCTATACCAAAATGGGCTGTTAACCATTTCAGTACTGCAAGGGATAATTTTTTTAGTTGCTGTTAGCTGGGCTTTAAATTACAAATGGCGAAAGTTACCTTTTTAAGTAACTCTCTATCCAGAAATGTGATTTATTGTACAATATGTTACACATCCCTGGCAATTCTTTGGAAGCTGTCTAAATAGACAGAAATGCTTATAGGGCAGTGAAATGAAGGTAGACAGGCTCGTACGTTCCTTACAAGGGCTGTTCAGCTAGTAACAGGATGTTTCACTCTACAATTCCTATAACAAAGAGCTTTATGTATGACAAGTGCAGGCTTGAGCTGATATCCTTGCTCCTAGATGGGTTGGGAACAATTTAATTCTACCTGCAATATTTTCATTTCCTTGCAAAGACTTTTGTTCTCACCCTTGGAGAATGAAGGGAACCTATTCATTTGTCATGTGAAGCTGTGAGGGTGGGGCGAAGCTATGACATGTAGACTACAGATTAGCTGCTACAGGGCACACTCACATTTTAAGTACACAGACATTAATATGGGACAGAATAAGGTAGATGTTATATACCTTGCCCAACTAACAAAAAACACACTCAACCAAAAGCAGCTTTAAAGCTACAAATAATGTTGCGTCCATTTTAATTTGGTTGCTGCCATATTAAACATTTAACGCCCCATTTGCATGGTAGGAGACTAAAAACAATGACAATTTTGGAAAAATGTAGACTGTAAGAAGCTTGTTATCTGCATATTAACCAATATTTGTTCCAACATGATATTAAACGCCCTGCCTTATCTGTGCCTGGGCAGATGCTAATGCTGCGCTCTTCTAGTTACACATACAGTATGTATGATTTATATATTCTTTCAAGGGTATGCCCAGAGAGATTTACAGCATTAAAGCAAACACATCCTTTGCCACTACAGGGCAAAGCAACATTCCTGCTTTAATGCACGCTCTCAAAGAAAAATATACTCGCCATTCCTTTGAACCTCTGCTGCTCTGTTGAGCTACCAAGGGCAAATAAAATATCCAATCTAATAGAAGCATGTAATTCTCCATGTGACAACACTGGTGCTTGGCCAAGTGGAGACCTCAGTTCTGTGTAAGCTCCAAATAAGAAAGATAAATATGTGTGGCTGGGGGTACTGGCATTAATGTGGGATGTACTTTTTTCTCTGTATGATTTTGTGGCTGGATTTTGAATATCCATAAATTGTTTATAGAAATAAAAAAAAAAGAAGCTTTACATCTCCTTCCCCTTACATCACTTCCATCATCATTAGTATGACAGATAATTTACATATAATACCTCCAAAGCAAACCTTGTGATCTCAAGCCAGTAACATTACAATATTTAATGTTAATAATAAGGATATCTCAAAACCTTATGCATATTCCATGAATACATATTAGTGAAAACATTTTAAAGATCCTTTTATGAACATTTAACAAGCAGATGCACCCAAGACATTACCTCAAATTAAATACTTTATTACTTTGCAAATCATCTGAAATGGCTTGCCATGGATGGTCATTTATTTGGCTCTAAATCCAAGTAGTCTTTGACAGGTACAAACTGATGAAATTATGTACAATTAGAGTGGCAGGAAACAATTCAATTATTAAATACTGCTCTATCCATAAAACATTAGGAAACAAAAATCGATGCCAGAAAGACACTTACCTGAAAGCCTCTCTAATTTAAAAAGAATAATGTAACTAATGTTATGCTAAAAAAAAGTACGAGTGTGAGTGACAAGCAGACTTACAAAATTTTTTGTGTACAATAAAGATAACTAAGCAGAAAAGAAACATTTTAGAAAACATTATTATTATTGTTATTATTATACAGTAGTTATATAGCGCCAAAATGTTTGCTCAGCGCTATTATTATTATTAAAAATTTAAAGGCCAGGTCTACCTTTTGCAAAAATAATAATTGCACATATATCTGCAGGAAAAAAATATGCAGATATAATCCTGCAGACTCTTCCTCCAGATCTCTGTCTGTACTTAGGAAGTCAGAGCTGGAAAAAGTGTCCCTGGACTAAGAGTGCAGCGATCACTGTACTTGTGTTCCATTGAGAACTACAATTCCGTCTGCTATAGGTCTTGCAGTTAATGAATTTATAGAACTCATTTGTCTTATAGTGTTACACCTAAAATATGGTTGCAGTGTGGTGAAGTGGAATTTTTGTGTTAGGCACAATATCTCCTCTTGATCACCTGCTAACTGTGGCTTCATGTATAAGGGGCCTAAGTTAGACACCCCCTGCTGGCTCCTCCTCTCAGCATCACTGGAGCAGGAGGGTCTTTGACCCAGTTGAAGCCAGGGGGTAATGTCACCAAGACTTACGTTTCGGAGGCAAAGTAAATATAAAAATTAAATGTTGTTACAAAGATGGGCTTCTATTACTAGTTGCCATCAGCTAACTTTTAGTACCTTCTTTGGCAAAAACTTTGCACCACCTATCAAATGCAGCCAGTCAAAGGTGACTACTAAATTCTCCAGATTTCTTCATTACAAAGAATACAACAGATTTCTTAATTTGACTTTGTAATAGGCATAACAGGAAGGGAGAGGCAGAACTGGGTACATAGACAAAGAGCTCATCACTGGAATCCCTTTCACCTACAAGAATCCAATCAGGTAATTCAATCTGTCAGCATCCACCAAAACAGTGATAACAATTTTGAGTGGACTAATCCTTTAAATTCATTTTCTCTGTGACATCCTTCAAACCAAAAGCCATTCTGAAATATCTAATACAATGCTATCTATGAAAACCAGTTTAATTATACCTGCAACATTGGCAACAAACCTCAAAATACATAACATTATGAAATAGTTACTTGCTGCCAATAAGATAAAACATGCATAATCTGGACTCGGAACATCTGTTGTCGATACACAAACCTTAAATAAAGGATTTACTAAAAAAAAGTGCATAATCCAATGTTTCCAAAAAGAAGACCCCTCTTATTTCTCTCTTACCTGTAACATTAACATCTACTTGTCCAGTCTGGCTTCCAATAGCATTTTTGGCCTCACAGATGTATGTTCCAGAGAGGAGGTAAGTAACCGGTCCACGGAAAAACAGTGTGTTATTGTTCACTTCTGCACTGTCTGGAAGCGACCCATTAGCCCTGTATTAAGTTTGATATAGCAAAGAATTTATCATTTTGACGTCTAAAAATCCTGCAAGATGTTGCAAACAGTGCTAAATACTACTAATATTTTAAATAATGAATATATAGTTACATTTAACCATTTAGGTTATTGTTTATTTTGGAATTGTATATTTTTTATAAACTATGTCATACCAGACGCTATGCCAAGTCTAGCCAAAAATGGAATTTCAGCTTTGCACTGCCACCAGTGAGTTGAATTATTCAACAGGTTGTTAAATCATGGGGCTTTATGTACCAACAGGTTCTTTCTAAAAACAGAAGCTATTTCTACCAATCAGATTCAGACTTTAAGGTCAGGTCTGATGCTGATTGGTGACTGAAAAGATGTAACTTGAGTTTTTAATAAAAGACATGTCTACACCTAATACCCATCATCACAGAAAAAAAAAAACATTTCCCAAATGGGATTCACCAGTTTGATACCCACCATAGCTTTTAAAATGAATTGCACTGCAACGCACCATGGTCTATGGTCCAGTAATGCAGTACCATGAGGTAGGACAAATGCAGAAAATATGTAACCCCTAAACTAATAATGGAACCAAAACTACCTGAACTCTGCACCAAAAACAAGCAGCACTGGGTGGTTGGTGCTGAAAGAGGGGAAAGGTTGGGATAGATAGAGAAAACAACAGTTTGGAGTCCTGGACACTGAGGATCCAAGAAGTAAGAATTCTAATGCTAAGCTAAGGAGTATTTCGTGGTCTGTGGTAGAGTCCAATGTTTTGATAAATATTATTTTTGTGTTTAAGGTCTCAGGCACACTTAAGCTCAAAAACACCTGTTTTACAGGTGTTTGATTTTTTTTCTGCCTCTAAACACCCCTCCATGTTAGACTATGCGTTCATGCACACATAGGCATTTACAGGAGTTTAGAGGCAGAAAAAAAAATCACTCATGTGTTCAAGAGAGGAAAGTTTTGACTGAAAAAACTGCATAACGTGCCCAAGTGTTATTTTTTTTTCATTTCAGTGGCCAGAATAAATTAATATTCTGGTTAATGAAATGAATTGAAGTACAAAAAGTGCATTAGGTGTGGTTTTGAAACTGTTTTTCTCTTGCTTGGAGAAAAGCATTTGCAAAAGCCTCAGTGTGCATACAGCCTATATGTCAAAGCATAGCATCTATTCTACCTGATGGTTCTACTGTTATTATAAAGAAACATTCTTGCTTATAGAGAAACCACTAGCAATCTTTACTTACTTTCCCTCTACTCCCCCACCACTACCTTAAGCCATCAGGGACAAAGAGAAAGTACCGGTGATTGGCGATTGGCTGCACAAGCACATAGCACTGTCACATGGTGTAAGAAGAAGGTCATCAACCTGAGAAGGCTCACTGTCATGACTTGAAGCTTTCACAGGGAATTTTCTCCAATGCAGATGAGGGAGAGTGAAGGGAAGTAATTACAAGTAACTGTAGGGCGTGGAATTAGATAGAACCTGTTGCTTTTCCACTTTACCAAGATCAAATGTACATGAAAAAAAGTACATAGAAACATACCAAACATAAAATGCAGTTATAGTGGTACTTACATTCTCCACTGATATGAGAATGGAAGAGGATTAGAGTCTGCTTTGCACGTCAGCTTCACATCTGCACGCTTCACATACCAGTTCCCATCAAATCCTTCAATGGAGACTTGCGGCACATCTAAAAAAAAAAAAAAGGTCACCAGGGAAAGAGCAAAGTGACAAGGAAAAAATTGATAAATCCTAGAATGAAACAAAGAGAGAAATAAATATACTGAAAGCATATGGTTCATAATTTGCAACCAAAAAAAAAAAAAACAGGCAGTCCAACTCCTCCAGGATGGCACATCAATGCATGCCATTGCCAGAATGTTTGCTGTGTTTCCCAGCACAGTCTCAGGAGACAGGCAGTTACTATAGGAGAGCTGGACAGGGCTGTAGAAGGTCCTTAACCCATCAGAAGGACAGGTATCTGCTCCTTTGTACAAGGAGGAACATGATGAGCACTGCCAGAGCCCGACAAATTGACCTCCAGCAGGCCACTGGTGTGAATGTCTCTGACCAAACAATCAGAAACAGACTTCATGAGGGTGGCCTGAGGGCCCGATGTCCTCTAGTGGGCCCGGCACCATAGAGCTCAATTGGCATTTGCCATTGAACATCAGAATTGGCAGGTCTGCTGACAGGCCCCCTGTGCTTTTCACAGATGAGAGAAGGTTCACCCTGAGACATTTGACAGATGTGAAAGAGTCTGGAGAAGCCTTGGAGAACATTATGCTGCCTATAACATTGTTCAGCATGACCATTTTGGTGGTGGGTTAGTGATGGTCTGGGGAGGCATATCCATGGAGGGATGCACAGACCTCTACAGGCTAGACATTGGCACCCTGACTGCCATTAGGTATAGGGATGAAATACATGGACCCATTGTCAGACCCTACGCTGGTGCAGTGGGTCCTGGGTTCCTCCTGGTGCACGACAATGCCCGGCCTCATGTGGTGAGAGTATGCAGACAGTTCCTGGAGGATGAAGGAATTGATACCATTGAATGGCCCCCACACTCACCTGACCTAAATCCAATAGAACACCTTTGGGATATCATTTTTCGGTCCCTCCGATGCAGGTTGCACCTCAGACTGTCCTGGAGCTCAATGATACCCTAGTCCAGATTTGGGAGGAAATACCCCAGGACACCATCCGTTGTCTCATTAGGAGCATGCCCCCAATGTTGTCAGGCATGTATACAAGCACGTGAGGGCCATACAAACTACTGAGTATCATTTTAAGTTGTTGCAATGAAATTTCAGCAAAATGGACTAGCTTGCTGCATCATTTATTCACTTTGATTTTCGGGGGGGGGTTTGAATTCAGTCTTCTGTAGGTTGATAATTTTCATTTCCATCAAACAATGGGGCATCCTTACGTTCCTAACACATTACTCAATCCATATCAGTATAGATATCTAGCATGTTATTTTTCCCTATTGAGATCTGATGTGTTTTCAAAGTGTTCCTTTAATTGTTTTGAGCAGTGTACTAGGCTAGAAGGTATGCTTGCAGGGAAAGCTGCTCTTTTAGCAGTACGAAACTTTCTTGTACATGAGTATGATGCACGGCACACATGCATATTTGTCCCTGATTGCCTCCAAGCAGAGAGGTCCAAGTGCTCTCAGACTTGACCCATTGCCTCCGGAGGTGATCAGTTAAGGAAAACTAAAGTGAACATTAGCTCAAAGGGCAAATTTCACAGTTCAAGGCTTTTTAGAAAAATGTTTACAAAGGAGACAAAACCCTTGAATACATCTGAACTATAATCTTTCCTTCTTTTATTTTTAGCAAAAAAAAAAAAAAAAAAGCAGGTCATGAAATTCTTGGTGCCTGCAGAGTAGTCTTTATGATCTTTGTGCCCACATCTCCCCTAAGCACATTTACTTGACTTGAGCTAAATACATGTTTTTGCTGAATCAATGGGACGTTTGCTATTTTCAATCAATCATAATTGTAAAATGCCATGAGTTTAAAGTAATACTAAAGGCTTCTTTTTTTCTAAATACCAAAAGTGTTAACTGTGATGTCAAATGTCAATTTAGTTTTAGTCATAGTCTTTTAGCTAAAATGCATTTTAGTCGTATTTTAGTCATCTGAATTGTTTTAGTTTTAGTCATATTTTAGTCAACTAAAATCTCCAGTACATTTTAGTCAACTAAAATCTAACGGGTTTAGTTAAATTGTAATGCATTTATTTAAGCATTTCTCTAGAATTTCCGAACTCATTATATACTCCTGGAGTAAAAATGTATTAACATGTTATTATTTATGGTATTAAGATTTGAACGTGCACTACAAACACAGATTTAGCCATTGTGATATTTCGATTTAGTCTTTTGATTTTAGTCATGTTAGTTTTAGTCCTATTTTAGTCATCTGAACTGTTTTAGTCATATTTTAGTAGACTAAAATAGTGTTTTGTCACGGAAAATATTTTTCTGCTGTCTCAGTCAATGAGGAGGAAGAGACCTGGAAAAGCCAAGGCTCTCGTGCTGGATCACGATGGGGCCCAGGTAAGTATTAGGGGGGCTGCTGCACACAGGTTTTTTACCTTCATGCATAGAAGAGAAGTATGGCTTCACAAAAAAATAAACATACATACTCACTTAGATAGCTGCAGCATCCATCTTTTTCTGCAGCTGCATCCCCAGCTCTACACCAAGAGCTGAGCAATTAAAGACTGCTAATTGCTCAGTTCTTGGACTTCAGCGAGCAGAGAGCTGGTGACTGTTAGTCACTGCTCCCTACTCTGCCCATCCAGTGCCCACTGGAGCATCAGGCTTTGCAGGGGGCAGAAGCATCCTGGCTCAGTCTCCCAGCAGCCCGGTGACAGGCTAAGTCAGCTGGATCCCTGCAGAGCTTAGGTGGCTCGGGGACAAGTGCACTTCTAGGATCCTCAGGAGAAGTATAGTTTCACCTAAACATATACCAAATCTGAAATTTTCACTTGGCCTTTTGCTGTGTGTATTCATTCAAATATGAACATTCTCTTCCGCATTTTCTAATGATCAGAAACCTTCCCCAAAAATAGCGCACCACTCCGGTTCCAGCCTCTACACTTACATTGTATATTGATGGTGGTGTTCTTTGTGTCTCTTTCAGTTTGGTAGTTTATAACACAAGTCAGTGGCTGCTTGTGGGCCTCCCGGGTGGGCACAAGTTTGAATCGACTGATCACGGTCACAGTTCCATTATCATTCTTAATTTCCTGGTATTCTGCCTCCCCTTTCAGCTTGGTTTCCCAGGTGATTGTGCTTGGTGGCTTCCCATTGGCTGACATACAGGTCGCAACCACAATCTTATCATTTCTCAAAGGATTTGCTACCAGCTGTTTAGATGTCACGTCCATTTGATTAACTGGTCTAGCTGTAAAACAAAAGATTAAAAAATCATATTATATGTTATTATTACACAGCATTTTGCGTCATTATACAACTCTGATCTTACACAGACAGATAGCACTTTATTTCATATTTAAACAGAACTATAATCAAGGAATCAATAATAATTCAAAACCAACCTCCAGCTAAAACATTTTTATTCACTTTTGGCCAGAATAGAGAAGGGTTAACACCTCAAAAAGTTTCTCTGTGATCTCCCTTTTGCAGTGTCCCCCCATTTCTGATGTGATGAAGGAAATAGATATTCTCTCCAGTGGGGATACAGACTGCTACAATAAACTTGTTTCTGTTAAGTGGGGTCATGCATTGCTCAGATTTAGGCCATTTCAGCAGAAATGTGCCCCTGGTAGAGAAGAGAGACAACAGCGCCACTCTAAGTGTAGCCAGTTAAACTCAGGCAGATTTAATGGTAAAATTGCACTCAAATAGGTAGGTAACAGGTAGGCATGTCAAGTGATGGAGGTCCAGTGGGAGCATCAGGTCCTTTGGCTGCGCTTTGGGTTTTTTCTCGCCGCTCCGGTGGTGTCCAAGGCTTGGGGAGTAGCAGAGGGGCGCAGGGAGGCACACAGGGATGATGACACCAAATGGACCAGGTTTCCAAGATGGCGCGCGTCCGGAGCATGCTCACTCCGTCAGGCCTGATGCTCCCACTGGACTTCCATTACTTGACCTGCCTACCTGTTACCTACCTATGTGAGTGCAATTTTACTATTAAATCTGCCTGATTTTAACCATCTACACTTAGAGTGGTGCTGCTGTCTCTCTTCTCAACCTGCATTGGGAATATCTACAAGCTCTTACAGCCGGCTTCCTCCTCTGACAAGTCCATACTACTACAAGCCCCCCACTACAGATGGACTTGGACACCACCTCCACATGGACCTTCTACAAACCCCCACTGCTGATGGTCCATCCCCAAACGCACACAGGGTAGACGCGTCTTAGCGCTCCCTCCCTCCACTCACCTCTGAATGTGCCCCTGGTAAAACCACCTGATCGGCAAATAAATTGTTCAATCAGCTTTTGTTAAAAGAGCAGAAACTGGTAAGCAGAACAGCATACACTTCCAATCAGATGCAGACACTGTTTAAGTATTCTGAGAGCCATGGGTGCCGGCTGACAGAATACAATAACTGGCAGGGGGATTTGTTTATCCTCGCTGTTCAGCATAGATGGACGAATCTGTAGATTTCTTTTGTTCAGCCTGAAGGCTGAGTGTATAGCCAGCTTAAGTACCCCTTCCAGGTTACTATAACCGTATCTGACCTCCTATCTGACCTCCTATCCTCATGATAACCACTCTCCTCATTTCTTGTTCTGATGTCACAATAAAAGGAAGTAAAATAAAATAAAATCTTCCTATTTGGGTCATGGACAATATCAACATAAAGTGCATCTAAAGCTGATACTGTTTTCCATTCTGGCTAAAGTAGGAAAAGTTAAACATCTGCCAAATTTTTCTTGAATCATCTCTGTCCCACCAGGGCGAATATCTCTTCACTACCTGTCTTGCACACAAAACAGAAGTTAGAAGAAATCTATTCAAAGTGGGAAAATTCTTCTTTTAGACAGCTGTCACAGAAACAAGTGTACCTATTAGAAGATGTCTCCTCTATCCCTGTTCTGGTGACAAAAAAATGTTACATCGTGTAAAACTTTATGTCACAATGAAAATGGTCACCAGGATAAATAGAGAGAGTGAATCTACCTAGCGGGCACAGACAACAATTAAAAATTGACAGGGGTTCTATAAACATTTTACATTGTGCCAACGGTCCTTAAAATAAAAAGAAAGAAACTTGGAAATTCTTTAAATGACACCCTCACATACTATTGATGGAGTTAAAAAAAAACTGTGTGAACCGGCAATTATGCAAAGTTTATAGATTAACATTCACGAAGGCCAGACATACATTTTTAAATCTCAGCCAGTTCAGCAGGAACCGGCTGAGATTCGAACCATGTATGGGTAGGCTGACTGTACCCAAGTTGATCAATTGATCAACTTGGGTGCAGCCAGCCTGCCAGATTTTACATATAACATCTGGTATAGCTGTATAGCTGTTAGCAATAATCACTGTCTTCTCCTGACGGGGACGGCTTCCCCTTCGACCCCCCCCTCACCGGGAGAATACAATGGCTCAGTGAGCGGGATTCCTCTGACGACACATGGGGGAATCGCAGGAAAGAAATTCACTTCATGTATGGCCTGCTTAAAGGGTCCAATTGTGAAGGAGAGAAAAAGCTCCTGATGATCACAGCTTATCTCTAAGCCCTGTCCCTATTCACAGAACTAATAATTTTCCAAGATAGTGAATTCTGGCTTTATTTGGCTTTAAATGGGGTCCTTGTAAGTGCTTGTTGGAAAACCTCCACATGACCTGACCAAGCATTCTCTTTTCTCACCAGGAAGGAATTAAGCCTTTTAATACATGTGCCCCAATTCAATGGATTTGGGGAGTCATGCGATTAACCTCAATGGGTCCTGGCTCTACACGCAGGCCTTTGTGCTGAAATTCATAAAGAAACATGTGAACATGTATGCAGCTAGAAATAGCTATGTGAGATATGTATGTGTCTGTGAACATACAACTCTAGAATAAGAATAGACAGTTTCCATCCCATTATGGGAAGAGGGCTTCTCCAGCCTCAACTGCACAATTATGTAAAATTATGATTAAAAATAAGAGGGTGGCTGTAAGGAAATCTGTCTTTTTAACTGGCATCCGTTTTGTATAATGCCTTCATTTCTAGATGTATGAACAGGTAGTTTCGATTTTGAGTTTCGCTTGTAACCTCTCTCTCGTTTCCTGAGTTTAGTTTCTATTCTCAGTAAATGGAACCACCTCATATGGTACTCATCAACCATTTGCAGTTTCTGTTCTTCACGTAACTATACTGATAAGAGTGGAATGTTTCATTGGTCATCCTAAAATTAACGCCTATTGAGATCTGTATATCAGTTCAGTTCTTGTCATGCATTAAACTTTCAGAGATTTAGCTTTTACACTTCAGTGTCTGCAGCTTTATTTCTCTCGGGCCTGGTGGTGGAAATAATCAAGGACAAGTTGGGCTACAGACAGGAATTGATCCTATCAGTGGCCATACACACAAAACATAAAAAAATACAGTAGCCTATATACAGTAGTATATATTAAAGCCCATCCCCAACCAAAATGTTTTAGTTTTGAATAACACGTAATAGCTATTACAACTGTTGATTTTTGTAACCATCTGTGTCCCTTTTGGGAAGCTTTTCTCTTTATTTTTGTCAGGGCAGAAAAAGGTGGGGAAGCTCGCCAACATGACACCAGATGAAGACAAACACGGTTAATAAAGTGAGGGAACAGTTTGAACTTCTGAGAATGTTTTTATTGCTGTCTGTACCCTCCTGTCCCGGTATTAAACCCCAATTCTTTTCCAGATGCCACAACAGCAGAAAGTGGATAATCTGCAAATACAGTCAATGTAGATCTCATGAATCTTTTTTTTTTTCCCCCAGCACAGCGGGACAACAATTTTACAAAGAGCAGCGTGACATGATAATGTGAGTACTTTACGTTGCAATGTTTATCTTAATAAGCATGGGGTGGTGACAGGGTCTCTAATAAAACACACATTATTCTGAATCAGTTAAAGCCTCTCAGGCAGCTATTTAATACAGTAATACAATCACATAAAGCTGCTAGCAATACTGGCATAAAATCTGTGTGTCTCTGTCTCTGTAACCTATCATTAGGTATCTCTGGGGAGATGGCTTCACCGCGGAAGCTCCTGAGGCCAAGCCTGCTTTCCTTCGTGTATTCCAAAATCTACTACTGATATTTATGTAAAGACTAGCATGCTAGGGAGACTACTATAAAGCTTGTCTGCAGTAAAACATAGAAGCACATTTCCCTGCTGGCAGTGTTCACTAGCAACACATCCAAATATAAAACATGGCATAGCGACCAAATGGCTGACTAGAAAGGAGAGGTTTGGAGAGAATACAGTTTGCAAAAGGCAATCAGTTTTGGCATCGCATGCTTTACATTAGAGACATATGTTCTAACCTAAAGTTATTCTGTAGAGGGCCCTCTGAATACTCAATTGATTTGTATTGTAATTGTACTGTCTGCCCTTATGTTGTAAACTGCTGCATAACCTATTGGCGCTATATAAATCCTGTAAAATAATAATCTTTTAAACATTTATTAAGATATGTACAGTGTGTTAATGTAACCAATGCAAGGAAAGTAATCAGAGTAATGTGTGTAAAAGTGGAAGAAAAGCATAAATTGAATTATTCCCAACAAAGTTCTCTTCCCCCTCCTCTTCATCCCTATCCTGCCTAACCAGTGTAAAAAAAAAATCTGTATACATACAATTGTGTTCAAAATAATAGCAGTCAGACATCACTAACCTGATCAATCACTGTTTTTGGTAGAAATGATATTTCTACATGGCAAATAATTTACTAGCAGGTGTAGTAGAGTAATAGAAATCCAACAGACCCAACAGTCATGACATGCATGCTGCTGATTCTGTGTAATTGAATCACTAATTGAAAGGGGCATGTTCAATATAATAGCAGTGTGGAGTTCTATCAGTGAGGTCATTCATTCTTTGAAAAACAGGTGACAGTTATTGCCCTTATTTAAGGAAGGAAGGCAGCAAATGTTGTACATGCTGGTTACAGTGCATTTCTCTCTGAAATCCTGAGGAAAATGGGTCGTTCCAGACATTGTTCAGAAGAACAGCATACCTTGATTAAAAAGTTGATTGGAGAGGGGAAAACATATAAAGAAGTGCAGAAAATGATAGGCTGCTCAGGTAAAATGATCGCAAATGCTTTAAAATGGCAACCAAAACCTGAAAGACGTGGAAGAAAGCGAAAAACTACCATTCTAATGAATAGAAGAATAGCCAAAATGGCAAGGACTCAGCCAACAATCAGCTCCAGGGAGATCAAAGAAGGTCTAAAGT